AAAGACTGAAAATGCCAGGAAATTAGTGAAAAAAAGTATTCTATCTAACTTGTGCTCATATGCAAGGCTCTTCTCTCTTTCTACAAGGGAGTTTCTGATTCAGTTGATTGACTCTTACTCACTCCTTTTAAAAAGAGTTGAAACACAGATAAAAATAGACACACGAGGCTGAAATTAGTTTTGAAACTAACAGCATTAGGTATCGAAGTCAGTAGAACAAATCTAGGTCTTCCTGCAAACGGTCATTTCCCTCTGGGATATTCTTCCCCTGCCCCGTAACCTCACTTTACTTATCTGCTTTAATTTGTTCTCTATTGAGCTGATAACTGCAGTAAGTCTGGTTTATGGCTTTACAGGTTTTCTGGAATCAAAGAATGACAAACAGTCTATGAATGAAAATGTTAAAAAGCAAGAGTTTGTTAGTGTCATACCTCAGGGTTACACAGATATGACGCTTTTAAAAAGGATGTCTTACTAGTTAAGCACTTTAATGCTGAAGTGTACACTTTCTATGGCATTTAATAATACTTAAGCTCCCAGTAGCTCATTACAAATAGAAAGGTATGTTTTAAACGGTATGCAGAATCATTAGATAAGCTTAACTCAGTTTTAGCTGTGAATCTGAAAACAGCATGCTTCACAAGCAGAAGACAAAAATGCAGAACTAATGATTAAGATGACTGAAGGCTAATAAATGGTGGATCACCATGTAAGACCTGATAGCTAGTAAAAAATAGGAAAAACAGTGAATTAGAAGAGAGCAGGTGTTCCAGACCTGATACTAGAATGTTAGTGGGTCAATATGCCCTCTTTCCTGGGTCAGTGTTCCTCTGGATTTAGCTCACAGGCCATGGATTTAATGAGATATTTTGTCAGTGACCTTCTATAAAAGTAATACAATATCATTTATGTCATTACACTTATTTATTTGAGATCTGGGCAGCCCAGCCTGGCCTGCTGCGAAGAGAGTTTCAGATGATCCCAGTCTACAGCAGACCACAAAAGGCCTTCATTAAAAATTTCAAAGTGATGAAATAAAAAAAAATGAGGATTTTTTTGAGGTTAATTTATGCAATTTTTCTTTCATATGTTGACCCATGTTTTTGCAAATGCCCTCCCTCTTTTCTTTTTTTTTTTCCAAATAAAACAGAATTCTTCATAGCAGCCTTCTCCAATTTGGCCAATTGAAATTCCTGCACAAAGAACTGGTAAGAGTCGGGAGCTCCCAACATCAGATGTCAGTGCTAATATTTTTGGCTATCAATTCTGTTAGTGGTGCAACTAACATCATGTCTACTTGAATAGGCTGTTGACAAGGCTACTGTGGTCTCATGAGCCTAAGCAACACTACCAGAGATTCATTCCACAATTAAGAAGACTACATTATCCAGTGTCATAATAATAAAAAGAAAGTCTCTGGTCACATTGGCTGCTTATTACAGGCTTCTCTTGGGAGTTTTAATTTCAATTTAGTTTCATAAGAGTAACTAAACTACACAAGTAAATACACGTTTACTCTAGGCCTGGCAGTTATTTAAAATTCTTTGCCCTGTGTCTAAAAAAAGAGGAAAAGGGAATTTTTCAGATAGGCTTGTCTGAAACTTTTACAACTGCAGAGTATTTGTGATTACTCAGAAGATTCAAACAGCCTTGCCTCTTTTGTCACCACATAATTCTAATGGCCACGAAAATAGAGCCAACTGGCAGCCCACATGAAAAAACATGAAATTAATGGCTCCTCTTAGTTAAAAGCCTGAATACGTCACTCACTGAGGTCAATGACAGATATCTTATACATCACAGGGTAAAAAGACCTGGCTTCTAAGGTCTAAGTTGCGGAAGTTTTCCTTTATCTTGTCTCAAAATGTCAAAGTTTCAAATAGTTCTTGGGGAAGTGCAGATCATATCCCCATATTGCACATTTCCATGAGATTTGCAGTAAGATATCTGACTCTGGAAAGTTTCAACTGATATTTCCTAACAGTGTGGTCACTAAAGTACACAAATTCAACCAAGTAGACTTGCTTGGAAGGAATCCTCTTGAAGGGAGGTCAGCACTATTTCTGTCCTTCCCAATCCACTTACATGAGCACTTTGAACAGTTGGGGAGTCTCCTACAACAGCAGACAGTATTGTGGAAAAAAGCAGTGCTGATACTGGTAGAACAAGTGCTCCATTCAATGGTTAATGTAAATAGCTAGTCAGGACACTGGGGAAAGGAGTGTAAAAGCAAAGACAGAAATCACCTTTCATGGCCCTTTTTACATCTTAAAACCTTTTGCAAAAACTCTGTTATCCAAACAGATTCACCTTTTCACTAGGAAAGAGCAGAAGAACTAAACTATTTCTGTATCCCCTTGATTCTGATGTGTTCCACCTACTTTTCCCTGCATGTGGTGTCCCACAGAGAATTTATGTGCTTGAAAACAGCTGAGGATACACTATCCATGTGTATCATATTCCCACCTAACATGCCTTGTATTGTGAAACCACACTGAGTTTGAATGTAAGTAACAATAAGGAAGCTTCAAGTGAACAGATTTGCTGCTGTTCTTGCAGACATCTTTCTGTGAGGTAGTAAGAAAGAAAATAAAAGAAAATCCTCTCCATCCATATAATGATAAATGAAGCTACAAGTAATATTTGTGGAATTGTGTTTCAGCTGGTATCTTAATTTTATTATGAAAAGTTTTCAACATTTTTTTTTTCCTTATGGTGCAACCCTTTAATCTTTTCTGTGCATTCAAATATAATTACGTAATCAATTAAAACAAAACCAAGAGAATGTAAACCAGTTACTGTTTTAAGATTACTGGAAGTGTGTAAGTTAGAAAACAAATAAACTGATGCATCTTCACTGAAGCAGCAACAGCCCATGGAATACATTATCTTTTAAGAACTAGTAAGCCCCATGAAAGAAGGGTGCTTATCTCATACAAATGGTAAAAAGATCAATCAGCTATTAGTTAAAATGCAGTTTTATTTAAACATGTAGGTATCACTACAACTAGAAAGCCTGATCCCACAGCACAAATGGATCAAAGGAAATATTTTCATTGGCTTTGCTGGCTTAAAATCAGGGCACTGAATGCAGAGGGTAAAACCAGTAGAAACACTTTCTAAATTATGTTTCAATATATTAATAGAAATGAGAAGCAGAATCAAGACAATTTTTGTATTTGGAAGGTAAAGTAATGCAAATCTATACCTTCAGCCTCACAGTGACTAATCAGCTTGATGGGATATTATCAGATGCTAGAAAGATAAATGCTTTCTGCACCAACACTATAGTTGTTAGTATTCTAGTGTTGTAGGTTTATTCATAGTTACTAGTTCTAAAAGCTGGTGCTAGAAATCTTGACACTCTACTGACTGAATTGAAAGACTAGATGTCTTACATTTCTAAAGTGAATTTAGCCTCTTGAACAGTATCTCACTGAAAAAACTGGCGATTAAGTCCTCTGTAAATCATATATTTGAGTAAGCAACTTGACACTGAAGCTATTGTATGAACTAACATTGCTAATGGCAAAAATTTGTAGTATCACTTCCAAAATAATTCAGGTTCACCTCAAAAAGAAACAGTAGAAGTATGGGAAAGTTTCAAACAATTTGTGTCTTAATCTGTTCAATATTTCAAATCCAATTTCAATTGTAAGGTATCAATCAATTAAAATAAATACAGTGACAGTTTTATAGTGATAGAATTACTACTTTTTGGCTTGGCCCACAGAAACAGGCAACCTCTAGGGAAAACAAAAAAAATTATCCATCATAAATTTAATTTTGCTTTTATACATGATTTTCAGCCGTGGTGAACACAAGTGCCTACTTACAATACAAAAATTATGAACTATTGGAAATCGTAATTTGTTGTTATGCCGTAGCTGAGTTTTTTATGGCTTTATAAAATCCTTGAAGACTAACAACATTACTTCTTAAAAAAAACCCCTTGAATATATGAAGAAATTTATTAATCAAATTATTATATCTAATATATTAACAGTATCTTGGTATCAAGTTCTTTAAAAACAATTACTGAAGATTACTCCTAAATTGCAGCCAAATGTATTAAGAACACTAATCATAGTGTTAAATAATTTTGTTGCCAGTTTCTCACGTGTGAACCTCCAGTTTCAGCAAAATGTCTATCCACTACATCAAATGTAAACAGCAGCAGCTTCTCACTGATTTTAAGATGACAATTGCTGAACTTTATTTTTCTAAAAAACAGGAAAGCAGTTTCTCTAATTTATGACCATTAACTAGCAGAGATAGTGTTGATAATATACAGCTACTCAGCCATTTTATCTCAAGCAGTTAATTAACCAGTCCTGCTGGACCTATTTAGATATAGCATCAGTAGCTAAGACTTTGTTTCATACCTATGAAACATAGATTCTATGATTCTATCTACAACGTGTCAATATTTTTGTATGTAGGTATTAGAATAAGTTAGGCTAGTCACATTCTTTTACAAATTCAGACAGGAAAGTATGACACTTTTTATGAAGTAGTATCATTTATATATGAAGAAGGCAGAATTAAAATCACTGCAAACATGTAGAAACATAAGTAATTTGGATCTATGAATTTAAATGCAAGACCTCTTGCAAATAAACTTATAATAGTTCTTAAAATACAGTACTTCAAGCCTGTATCCTGTAACAACTTGCAGATGTGCTTAATCATGTATATTGCACACTGAAGTCAAAGCAAGTGCAGAGGGGGCCCGAAGTAGAGCATAAACATCAGTCTTTGTAGAATCAAGGCCTCAACTGATAAATTCCTAATTACACATTATGAAACTAGAAAAAAACTGTGTGAGGTTTCTCGTTTCTTCCAAAAGTACTTTTTCTTTGATAGCCTTCCACACAATGTGTATATGTATACATTTAAGTAGGTATGTGTATGTACACAACATTATCAACTTTTAAATCACTTATAAGTCACCTTAGAAATACAATACAATATTCAAATACAGTATTTTTGCTACTCACCTGTCTGTTACGTTCATCCATAATCCTTGTAATCTGAATCTTTTTTCTCCCCATAGTCCCCGTTTTTTTTCCTCTCCTTCTTCCTTAGTATTATGTATTTTTCCCTTCTCTTTTCTTCCTCTTTCCCGTTTCCTCAAAACAAACCTCCTTCTTCAGCACTTGCACTACTCAGTTCACAGTCCCCTGCCTCCGTTCCTGCTG